TTTTTTTTAAACTAGTCACTTTTTTCCCTATTCGGCACTCAGACCGAGTCATTCTTGAGAACCTAGAGTTTAGGCTACAAGAAAAAAGCAAAGAGTAAAAAACGACTTATCATCTCATCACTGTTGCATCTTTATACAAGTCATAGCAAGACCCTTAATTTCCTTGTTTTTTGCCAAACAAACAGACCAGTAGCTGTAGACGGCTGAAAACTGACTATTAAATGTGACAAAGAAAATCAGAATTTAGATCAGCACTTAATTCTGTTGATTGACTAATTACCAGGAAAGATGCCATTGGGAGAAAAATCTGCATAATGCCTGAATATTTTTAAACCTGAAATCAATTCATTAATCCTCAAGCATTTTGAAAACCAACGCTTCAGTGGGCTTTTGAGCAAAAAGGCCTCGTGCTTTTTCCACATTCTCCAGTGTGACGATTTGTCCTATATTCATGTAAATATGTACCTAAACAAAGATGCATCTCTTCTGTGAAACAGAATACTGAAACTGTACTCACTCAAGCCAATTTGACTTTGAGCTGAGTCTCCTTCTGACCTTTGAATCGACTGCACACCTAAACCTTTATTATTATTCCCGAGGAGTTAAGCTTCAGGCTTTGATCAGCATCTCAAGTTAACGCTATGAATATCTCTATTTTCCCTGACGGTCTACAATTACTCATGAAAGGCTTTTAATCTCCCAGCTTTTCTCAAGAAATGTTTGTTCATCAATCCGATCACACTTTTTATTTCAAAAAGCTGATGTTGCGCTGACGGTAACGTGACGGTTTGGGGTGGAAATCCTAGGTGACCTGAAGAGTTGGTGCCTTTCACCTGTCTAATGCCTGACCTTTTGTCTCTCACAACACCACCCCTGCTCCTTTATCCATCCATCCATCTCCTTTTCTAAGTTTCTTATCCAGGGGGATGTTACAAGTCCAGCCTACACATACAGACTCTCTCTTCCTCCCTCTTGTCGGTCACCTGGGGGCCGAGAAAACTATTGGCTCTAATCTTGTATCTCTCAGCTTTAGCCACAGTGGGTGGGTTAGCAGAGCCAACCAACAGCTTTATCTCTGACCAGCAGAGGAAAACCTGGGAGACCCTATCTCATCCACCCACACAGGCACACACATGCACATGACAGGATACCTGCTCACATATCAAACCACTCATAGACAAATCACATCAAACACGTACACACAGTTAGAGCTGGGTTCATGTGTGCTCCTGGCAAAAGCAGGGGAACACATGCAGACTTACATATATGTAGTCTTAACAGCACATCGAAATAAGGGTGTAAAGGTGTGACACACACACACACACACACACACACACACACACAAAGACTCCTGGCAAGCAGAAATTGTGACGAAGACAAGTGGTTCAGCTGCGAAGACTGAGATAGGACCGGAATATTCTTTATCTCTTGACGGTGCACGGCTTAATTTTAGGGACAGTTTTTTATAGTCTAGCCTGAAAGATTTATCAGCTGACTCTGCTGCTGCATTTACTTTAACGCACCGAATTAGCTCCGCGGGAAAAAAAAAGAAAAAGGACATCACACAAAAATACTGAGAGAACTTATCGGTTCAGTTTTTAAATCTTTTTCAATTAGATTTTATTCTGCGCAGTGAAGACGGTGGGCCAGAATAAATGGCATTTAATGTCAAACATAATAAACACTAAGGGGGCTAAAAGTAAGTGTAGAAATGGAAATGAAGAATAAAACTTTTGCAGGGCAAAAATGCAGTTCAGTAGAGCTCAACAAATTTGCATTTAATCAATTTGAAAAAAGGTTTTAATGCAAAGTTAGTTGCTGCGTAGCAGCACACACACACTCCAAGAACGCATCACTCCAACGACATTTCATTGTGCAATCCATCTTAATCAGCTAGCCCATCAGAGACAATATATCCTCCCCTCCATCTCCCTACCCTTCTCCGGACGGAGTGATTGAGGGGTGTAAAGAGGAGGATGTTTCTGCCCACGTCTCCTCCCCCAGTATGCCCCCCACCACCACCACCCGGACGGCTCTTAAGTGCTTGTGGGTTTTTATGTTTGTAGTGTTTTATAGGAGTGGGCAGAAGCCAGGAGCAGTAAAAGTGTGGAAAGAAGGAGGGAGGGAGGAATAGGAGGAGGGGGGAAGGAGGAGTTGAGGGTTACTGTAAATCCAATCTTTATTGAGAGAGACACAAACGACAACCAGCGCCCACCCTGCAACGCCCTGTTTACCTGATCAACGAGTGCTGATTGAGGAAAGGAGAGAAGGAAGGGAGGGAATGAAACAAGATAAGGGAGCACGTGAAGTTCAAACCTGTTAATTTATCCGTCCCTATGCATTCGTGTACACGAGTGTCTCTCTTCATGCATATATATGTGTGCGTGTGTTTGAGTGTCTAATCAATTGCTAACCACCAGCCAGGCCTGGAGGCCCCCACCCTCCCAACCTACCTACCAGCCTGCCAGTATAGCGTATAATTGGCCACAGTTGGCTTCAATTGAATGTTTGCTGCCTTAGGGGCCAAATGATGCTTCAAGGCCTTTCAAAGCAGCCACAGAAAATCCACAACACTCCTCCACATGTCAAAAACCGCACGCTCTGGTCAGAGCTTTGCTGCAACAGCAGAAAGTTTACCATTTCAAAAATGAGCGTAATTAACTTGCTCGATGTTTCCTTTTATTTTAATGTCATATTTCTTTAAGTGCAACTGGCATCACTCAAAGCCTCTTAGTCAATCAGTTAGTCACTGGGAGAAAAGGTCAGCAGCTTAGTCAACAAAATGACCACGGAGACAGTCAGCTGGGCAGCCAATCAGTCAGGCAGAAAGGATGATCGGACTCTGCCGCCCAAAGCTCCTTTGAGGGTACCCTGTACCTGCTTGTTGCCATGGCAATGCAGTCTGAGATTTAAATACTAGCCTGTGTCCTCTCCCTGTGTCTCTTTCATCTTCTTCTTTTCACTCCTCCAGACTCCCCTCTTGCTTTTTGTCACTCAGTGTGACTCTCTCACGCTCCATCTCTCAGTCATGTTTCCTCTGGCATTGCTGAGGTTTTTCTTCGTCACCTTGCCTCGTCCTCTCCGCTAAATGACACTTTACTAGCTGTTTCTTCTTGTTAATTCTGTGCTACTTTGCATCCCACGACTCTGTAAAAGCTCTTGTAAAATACAAAGTCGCCTCTCCAGAAACACAGAGACGGTACTTACTGTATACACACATAATTACTGAAACATTTGTAGACAGATGCATGTATAATTACTTGCAAGCACACACAAACAGAAGCAGTCACACTGAACTGTGAGAGTCAACGATCAAAATATTCACTGGATGCTGGCACAGCGCGCACCTGCTGACAGTCAGCTGCCAGTGAAAATCTATCATTTTCTGCTAAAGCCTCATCATCAAGCATCATTTAGGCATGCTGGCCTGCCTCACTCTCCCCCGATGCATCACCAGTGCCAAGACACCGATTAAATTTCCCCCACATGCCCAAACAGCCTTGTGGGAAAAAGAAAGTCTCGAATGGATCAAGTGGCTTCTGGCTCCATCTAATGGTCACTACTATCTAAAACCTGAGAACAACAAGTGATGAGAGGACATGAGACCAAAAAATGTTTTAAGCGTTTGATATACATTCACTGGACCCTTTATTAGGTACACCTGGCTAGTACTGAATTGGACCCCCTTTTGTCTTCAGAACTGTAAATTCCTCATGGCATAGATTTATCAAGGTGCTGGAAGCATTCATCAGAGGTGCTCAATTGGCACTAATGGACCCAACATTGGACAAAAAAATATCCTCCACACCATTATACCGCCACCAGCAGCCTGAACTGAACTACAACACAGACAAGATCCATGGTTTCCTATCGTCTGCACCAAATTCTGAACCTACCATCCGACATTTGTCTCTTCTGTTCCAGAGCTAGTCCGTTTTTAAATAATTTAATATTAAATAGAATTTTAAAAAACAAATTTAGCAAATGGCTTAAAAATCATTTGGTTAACAGCATTACCGTTATCAGAGTGGTTTTTAAGTTTTGTTTTGCACTTATTGTCTGTCTTTAGTTTTATATTTTTATTTATTCAGCCTCTTGTTCCAGTAACTCAGACATTTCAGACTCTCCCAGCTCTTCATCGTACTATTGCTGAACATTTACCCAAAGCAAAACTGATCTGACGCAGCAGATAAACATCAGCCACTGCCATGGGTAAATGTCAACCTTTTTGCTCATAGGCCAACTGCAGCCAGCAAGGCCATTTCCGATGTCCAGCAGATGCATGCATGCATATCAACAGTTGGAGTTGAAAATAATCACTTTCTGCAGTGCACAGCCATTAAAAGATACAGTGTTCTTAAACCAAACAGCTGGGGGATACTACATAAACAAACAAAACATATGGGGTACCACGATGAATTTCACATATATCAAAGCAGTCTGTCCATAATTCTTCCAGCATGGAGACTTCAGATGAGTGCTAGCTCTGCTTTTGTGTTTCTTTGTCTACTTTTAAAGTTTCCAGGGAGCGACTCAGCAAATCTTCTGATTCTCAGCCGTTCTGTTGTTCTTTTATTCTTTTGTACTCCACTTTAAAGAAAACTTCACAGTAGGATTCTTAACCATATAAAGCCCTGTAGCTGTATCTCCCACACACTGAGAAAACATAATACCCATAATCACAGCGCGAACCTCCCTCACAGGTGTTCCTTGCTAAATGTATGCACATCAATGCACAAACGGATTGGAGGCGGCACTCAGTTTGGCACCAAGCTTTTAAAAACATAATCCTTTCTCATGTTTCCCTCTGACTGACTCTTCTTCACATTATTCTTTTCCAGAGGTTTCATCTGTACACCACTGCGAGCCATTATTTTTAGTCAAATAACAGCAAAATAAAATTGAGCTTCATCAATTTATTTTTTAATTACATTTGATTTTGACCTGTGTGAAAATAGACAACTTCACAAAGGTTTAAACATAGACACACACACACATACCTGCATTGACTATAGCGTCTATCTCAAGCTTGGTGATGTCGCCGTTATAAAGGGAAATCTTCTGGTCCAATTTTTCATTCCTCTTGTAGTCAGTTGGCTGCGAACCACCTGATGATGAGAGACACAAACAGCCTCAGGACCAGGTTTGCTTACCTGATAAATCAGCACAGGGGATACATCTGTAGTTCAACGCATACAAAAAGCATCATGTCCTAAACAATTCTTGGAAAAGGCTGCCACCATTTATAGAAGATCACAAGATGTGTATGTAATGAAATGATTTGCCAGGAAGGCACTCAATCCTTAAGCGACTGTCAGAACTCTCACACTCCCTGCCAAGCATCTACAGTATGAGATACGGATTCATACAAGAGGGATCTGTCATTTCATTGTTCAAGGCCTTTATATAGCAAAGTGAATCTAAAGCAAACACATTGAAGCACTAAAAACTATTAGTTTCCACAACCTTCATCAAAGCAAGTGTAGTGATCTGCAGTGACCCTTCAAATGTATGACCTCCATCCATCCATCCATGGAGATATCAAACAGAGATGCTCCAAGGCCTTCTCCTGTCAGGACATGCATCAAATACCTCACCTAGAAGGTGATCAGGAGGCATCCTAGAGCAGATGCCCAAACCATCAAACAATCTGACTTAGCTCTATTCAGTGTGAAACCCAGCCACCCTTCAGAGGAAGGTCACGGACAAGCTAATACTCTGCAATCTCACTCTCCCTCACTTGTGAGCAACATCCTGAGATATTTAAACTCCTCCACTTGAGACAGCAACTCATCCCTGACCTGGAGTGAACACTCCACCCTTTCCCGGCTGAGGATCATGACCTCAGACTTCAAAATGCTGAGAGTCATTCTTGCTGCACACCACTCTAGTGCATATTGGAAATCACCACCTTAATTCATCATTCTAAATATACCTATATAATGTTAAATAATACAATATTGTGCACTGAAAGCTCTGCAGCTAATTCAAAACAAAATAGTTTTTCATTTCTAAAAACTTGACTCCGCCTGACAGCGTTTGAGCACACTGCCTATCATTGTCTCTTAAAAACCAGAGATGTGTGGGGCAGCATTTTTTTTCACTCAGAAGAAAATATATTGATGTTTATAATCAGACTGCATTTTTTAGCAGCTGAATCTTATGCCTACCTTTACGGAGCAGCTACATATGGGGTCTGTCCAGTATTAAAATAATTGTTAATGATCTGAAACCTTGGAAATCTGAGACTCTTGGAAAACCCTACCACTACTATCACTCAACTCTTTGTGAACAGAATGGTAACTGTGACTGATGCTGAGGGTCTGACCTGCAGTGGGAGTCCACACTGAGATCTCATCCAGTGGCTTGTAGTCAGTTGTCCAGTAGTACTGACGCCTGTCCTCCACGCTCAGAGACAGCAGGTAGTCTGAGAGAAAAGTAAGATAAAGAGAAAAGGCAGTAAGTCATCTGAAACATATAACATCAAATGTATTTGTCATTTGCACTTTGAGCAGATATCAATGAGTTTCTGACTGAATATTTGATCACTCTTCTTGGCAGATTTTGAGAAAAACATTTCTCCAGAAGGCTTTTGGCCTGTCCATGTAGGCAGTAGCAAATTTGGTCAGCACCCTCTAAGTCCATGACAATGTAAAACTCAGTCATGCTGGTGTTCCAGCAATTTCCAGTTCATGACATGCTTGAGTCTTTGTGACTCCTGGTTGTACCAAACCAATCTCCTCTCATCTGAGAGTGACAGTTTGGATCTTCTTCCAGACTTTGCAAAGGAGGTGACACATCCAGAAAACTTATTCTTGCATATAGTCGTTTGACTATGGAATCTGGAGTTGTTGAGAAATGGCTCCATTAAGCTTTGGCCTCAACCCAACTGAAAACTTTTAGATAATGCTTCAATTCCAGCTCTATGACTGGAAACAATTGAATTTAAATGAACTCCAGTTAAGTGAACTGCCGAGAAGAGATGTCAGATATCTGGCTAGAATTATGCCAGATGCTTGTTGATGGCTACCAAAAGTATCTGTTCGAGTACAACTTGCTAACAGACATTTAACCAAATATCAATGGGGCTGTATGTGTCCATTTAAGCCTGTATGTATACTTTTCACCCTGTGTAGATTAAAAAGAACCAAAAATCATTTCAAATTTGTGCATCCTATTCTTTAATTTATTTTTTAAGTCATTAAAGATGTATGCTGTACAATCATTTCATTCAGGAAAAACAACAGTTAATAAAAAAAATTTTTAAAAAAATTAATACAATTTAAAGCCCAAAATTACCATGACATTCATGCCTATGATGAGTGTATGTAAACTTCAGACCACAACCTTATGAAGGAAACTAAATAGTGCATGAAATTTTTCACAAGCTTACAACTTCAGGCAGCAGTAAGTCAGTTTCATTGCATAATTTATAATTTTATAACGTTACTGTATTTTAATCATGTATTATTTAATTTACCAGTTAATTAAAAATATTGGTGTGTTTTACATATTTATTAAGTTTAATTTATTAATTCGATTTTTTTATATACAGTATAATGTGTATGAAATACATGTGTACTTTGATCTGTTACCACTAATTGCTTTATCGGTACTGTTGATCCCTGTGACAACAGCTGGACAGGTTCTGGTGGTCACGTGACCGCACACACGCGTCAAAGGCCCTGCAGGTTAAGCTTTGTCAACTTAAATTAAAATCTTCGCCTCTGTCACTGAACTCTCTCACCCTTGGTTTTCTTCCAGTCTTCCTTATCAGAGTCGAGGTTAATTTTGAGGGCCATGGCGGTGAAAGCTCCGGTGTGGAGAGACTGGACCAGCACGGCTGTGCTCACTCCAAAGGCGGTACCGAGGGCAAACTTGCCCAGCCAGCCTCTGTTCATCAGGGGTAAGGAGGAATGGGTGCGTCGGCTGGACCGCCAAAGTGGTGTTGTCGTTGAGAACTTGTCAGTTCGGCGGACAGCGTTAATATGGCTGCGGGGAGTACTTGTTGCTGGCCTCCTTCCCAGCTGGGGGCTTCCAGGAGTTAAAATATGTTTGAACTTGACACCGACACTCTGGGTGTCAGCACTGACACGGGACAGAGGGCCGCCGGTGTAGTACGGGAGAGCCCCGATACGGGAAACTCGAGCTGATACTTGCAGTGCCATGTCTGAGAAAACTAACGGGTCGTGCTGCTACGGCTTTCCAGTTTGCAGTGTCGGCCACACGTCGTTGTTTCGTTTTCGTTATCAACACACCTCATGAACACTCATGTGCCATTTTTGTTTGGGAAGTTAAGATGGGACCGTACCATTTATGAGGGGAGTCTGCTAATTGCCGCCAAATAAGTACCTGTAAAAATGTGAGTTGTAATGTGGTTTTCAGTGGTGTCATTAAACAAGTTATGCTGTGACATGTGAAATAAGTAGACTACACAGCTGAGGGTGTTTCTATTTACAAGTTCCCACCCAGCGAAAACCCCGACCCGAGTAGCAGAGTCGAAACCGTCAACCACAAGAGCGCGCCGCCTTCATGACTGTCGGAAACATTGATTTTACATGATAAGAACACGCTAGCCTCCTACAGCCCACAGAATAATGAATACGAGTATGTATCTTAACAAGACGTTTCCAGAAAGTAGTCGTTTTGGATGCGGTAGCAGGACAACACAAATTAAAGCATCAACCCTACGCAGTAATCTTGACTTAAAATCGACACTTTCGCCGATTCTTCAAAAGCCATCTAGCCCTGAAAGCAACATTAACTGTACGCTCGTACAGAAGAATATGTCCGTATTTGGTCTCCCTCTAGCGGATTCAAAAAAACAAAAGACAGTCTGTAGTCACAGCAAGCCTATCATTTTATAAAGGTATCTTCCCCATATTAAAAACAATGAACTCCTTATTATCTTTGTGGATGTTAGACAGGAGACAATGAATTTTGGTTTTAAATGCGCCAATTTTTATTAGTTGTCGAGCATAAAAATGAAATTGTTTTGGTTTGTGTCTGATATGTCAATAAAAGGTGAAAGTGCTGCTACTAAAGTATAGAACTCATAACTCACACCCTAAAGTTACATTTTTGCTGATTACTCAACACACAAAAATAACATATTTATGCACACCCAAATTGCCATATATGTGTCACTCCCACAGTCTGTCAGTGAAAAATGTTTGAGCCTTTTCACATTTCCGCCTGTCGGAAACTGACAGAGAAAAAAAAAAGGAACAAGCAGCAGTGACACAAGTAGCAGAGACCACAACCCAAGAGAGACAAAACTGGTAAACCTTCTCGGAGAAAACCTGGTAAACTTCTTCAGAGATCTTGACAGAGGCACAGGGGGTCCCCAGTTTCCATTTTTCAAAACCTTGGACGCGGGAAACTGACGGTATTGTCCTTTAAAGTGTGTGTGTGTGTGTGTGTGTGAGAGAGAGAGAGAGAGAGAGAGAGAGAGACAGCATGAGGACAGAGAGCAAGTTTAGGACAGGGCGTGTGTGTATGCGCATGTTTACGAAGCTTCTCTGTTATACACACATCTGAGGTCATGTATTTACTTTCACCACTTCATGAAATGAAATGTAAAATGATGAAGTGGTCACACAGATGGAAAATTATGATTAGACTCATACAGATGTGGAAAGTGTAGGCCTAAGTAGAGGTGCAGGGGGTGTGAAACTTTTATTTATGCATTGTTTTGTCGCTATCTGCTCTTATTTCAGTTCTTAATTAAGTTCAGACACATTTCAGTCCGTAAATCCGATATCTTCAAGGTGGGCTTCTACTTTTCATACATATGCAGGAGGACACTGTCTTAACAGGGGATGAACTTCTCACTTTGGGTGGGTCAGAAAGCGGAAGTGTGCATCCATGGTGATAGTTTAAGTCAGAAACAGGAAGTGCTCATCAAAGTGGACATCCCATCCATTATACGTGTGTGTCTGTGTCATGTTGCGCAGTATTATGTGGGTTAAAGTTGGTTTTCTCTGATAGGCCGAAGAGTGATTGGCAGGTCAAATATCCTCCCTTTGTCTCATTCAATATTTTAAATGCCCTGAAAAGCAGAAGGAGGTGTTATATGACCAAAGCTATCCGATTTCTTTTTTAATTTTTTTTTTAATTGTTATAAAATAACTCACTCAACTTGTCATCACACTTTTACCCTCTTGAAAAATAATTAATGCATATATTCATAATTCATAATTCAGATATGAACTTATCCCTCATAAAGTACTTTGTAATATTCTTGCATGTTTTTATCTCCTTTTAGAGAGTTTTAAATGTCTTGCAAAAACGTAGATGTATTTCAAACGAGCATCGTTGCTCACTCTCACCCTAACACTCCCTCTGAAACATCTGAACAGTTTTTCATGTCAGTCTCATGGAGCTGATTTTTCACAGTTTGATCAATGTGGCGAAGAAACAAAGGAAAGTTAATTACACGTCTTCTTCCATCGTCTTTGTCATCGTTGTCACATATGTAACAACAAGGACAAATAAAAAGAAACACAAGGCATTTGTCACCCATAATCCATCACATAAAAGATGGAGGAGGGCGATAAAGCTGTTTACTCTCTCCGTGTTTGTCTGTTTATCTGTCACTGTGCTCTGTCAGGCTTGTCTCCTGCATTTCTTTCTCACTATCCCACGCTCTCTTTTTTTCCAGTATGGCGGCGTGGGACCTGTCAGTTACGGTGGAGGACCTGGGGCTCGATGCCCCACCCGTCACCATCAGCGTGGCCTCCGACCTTCACATCGGAGGGGTTATCCTCAAGTTGGTGGAAAAGACACGTGGGTAGCTCTGTCTTCCTCTCTTTGTCTTCCTCTCAGTCACACTTCAGACTAAAATTAGTGTCGTAATTTACATATTCACACAAGAGTTCACATACAGTTAACAAAATTACAAATGCATAGTTAAGGCAAGAAAGCTGAATGAATTATTCAGCACACAGTGTGTCACAAGTCCTCTGAACTGCTCTTATAATTTTTTTTCTTTTGTCACCTGCTACATGTTTTCAATTTTAGTTTGTTCACTTCTTCCGCCACTGCTTTCAGCAAGAAACACAACATCAGTCTAAACATATGTTTCATCAAGTAGTTTGTCAATGTGAGACCAATTAGGTTGGACGGATCATGCAGACACCAGTAAGATCTAACCAAAACAGCTCAATCACATGAGGCTGTTTTAGTTTCAGAGAGGATGAATGTAAATGACCTAGGAGCAAAGATTGAAGAAGTGAGGAAACAAAGCTATAAATAAAGCTCGGGCAAATTGATCACTTGTTAATTGCGAGCAGGTCTATGCATGTATTCAATCAAAATCAGTCACGCATTATTTAAACATGTTTTGTACACATGTTATAAAGCATTGCTAGTGTGATGTGCGCCACTGTTTTCACACAATATATTTCAGTCTTTTTTATTTAAGGTTGTATTTGATCTGTTACGCTCATTACTAGCTTTAGATTTCTGTTATTCAAAATATTTCTTATGCATTTTCTACTGGGCCTTGATGCCACCTTTAAGTCAATACACCATCTAAGAAATTTATAAAATCCATAAATTCTTTCTCTCTTACCTTAAGTGAACTTTCATCTTATTGGTTGCCATTTGCAAAAAGACAGTTTGAACAAGAAACTGTTTGTTTTTTTTTCTTTTTAATTTTTTTGTGCTCACAGCCTATGTTGCATACCTGACATGAACTTTTGTGCATATCTGTTCTCAAAGATATGCACGCTTGGTTAATTAGTGATTCTAAATCAGTCTTAAGTGTGAACGTCTCGCTGTGTTAGCCCTGCAAAAGACTACACAGCCCTTTGACAGCAGAGACAGACTCCACCCCAGACAAACCCTGCACTGGACAAACAGTAAATTGATTGCAATCATTGGACTGACCAATGTTCAGAACAATGGGAAAAGTTGGGAAGGTCCTTGCTGCCATTTCTGAACAGCTGTAGATTCCAAGGATGTTCCCAGATGTGTTATTCAGATGTGTCACCACTTGTCCAATGTCTAAAAAAAGATCCAAGCTGTCGCTGAGTGTATGTGAACTTCTGACTACAGAAAATAAGGAAAAGCAATAAGGAAAATGTTCAAATCACATCAGGATCAATGCAGAGTGGGTAACAGTGTTGTCCTGCATCTCTCACAATCCAAGATCCATAAGGTCCTGCTGATTTAACTCTGTAGTGAACATATTCCAGTTAATAAAGAGGCTGCACTTTCCTATGACGTGTTTCAGGAACATTAGTGTAAATAATGTGTGGAAAAAACGAAAAACTAGCAGACAAATATGAGCCATGTGGGAACATACTGAAAACAATCTGGCTATTGCCTAGCATTGTTTGGTAGTGGTCACATAAGAGCAGTGTAAAGCATCGTATAAGGAGCAGAAATAAGTAAAGAAATGACCCTGACGTGATTTGAACACGCAACCTTCTGATCTGGAGTCAGACGCGCTACCGTTGCGCCACAGCGTCTCACAGGTGGTCATTTTCTCAGGTCAATGAGTCAACGCAAGGTGTCAGTCAGAAAATTACAACTGATATTTTTTTTATTGTTATAACGTCATTTATTCAACTTTTCATCAAACTTTTACCCTCTTGAAAAATGAGTAATGCATATATTCATCATTTTTATGCACTAATGGGTAGTAGATATGAAATCGTCCCTCATAAAGTACTTTTTGATATTCTGTTTAGTGTTATTATCTCCTTTCAGAGATTTTGAAATGTCTTGAAAAAATGTTGATGTATTTCCAATGAACATCGTTGCTCACTCTCACCCTCTGAAACATCTAAACCGTTTTCCATGTCAGTCTCTTAAATGTTAAACCTTAAACATTTAAAGCTTATTTTAAACAGGAAGAAACGTTCAGCAGAACCTGGATGAATTACGAGAACAGATCCTCTGTTAACAGATTGCTGGTTTTAGATACAAATGTAATACTGAGGTATCCCAAAAAGTAGCGTTTTCAGTGGGGAAAAAGGTTTGGTGACTTCTTCAGTCTCGAGACTGAAGTGAGTCATCTGAGCATGCATCAAGACTTCTCAGAGGGTAAGAGACTAAAGAAATGACCCTGACGTGATTTGAACACGCAACCTTCTGATCTGGAGTCAGACGCGCTACCGTTGCGCCACAGAGTCTGCGCAGTGTGTGCACCAACTATGGTTACACACCGTTTCCTGTCTTAATGGAAAACACAAACAAAAAACTAGTTAATTATTAGGTCACAAATGCGGTGAGCTGGGGTTAGCTTTAAACAAAGAAATTATGTTATATAGTGTGTCATAGCAGTGTTGCTCAAAGCATAGAAAAACAATTTTTAATGATCAAATGTCACTAATTAAATATTAAAATTTAAACGAATTAATTTGTGATATTTAATTAGCAATTGCAAACATAAGCACTGTTGCTACCATACAGTACACTAACTACG